ACCTTTCATTTCCTTAATTGAGAATAGTACTCTCTTCTTCTGATCTTGTTGATCTTGGTGGAGCTTGGATTCGCAGCATTTATTTTCTTCGACAACAGCTGGAGAGATGTGAGTTATCTTCTTTTTTTGTGTCTGTTTCTCTCTGGGTTACATTTCATGTTGCCAATGCCTTATAACTTGAAATGATCTGCAGACAGGACTGTACAAGTACTTAACTAACCATTTTGTATTATTGTTCTCTAGGAACTTCCTTCTGACAGGACTGGAAACTTCGATACGATATATAATTTCCTTAGAGAGAACTGGAAGATTGTAAGATGGGTAGCTCTAGGAGCAGTTGTTTTCGAGGTAATAGCAAGCACAAGTTCAGACTATCATTGAAAATCATGAACAAACTATCTTTGAAAGATAAATATCCCTGCGGAAGTGTTTGTAGACTGTTGTATGGCAATAGAAACATGTCATCTCTAAAAACTCTTAATGATGTCTTGTTTACTCGCAGGCTTTACTCTTCTTGCTTGCCCTTATGGTCAGGGCAGCTAATACACCAGCAGAGTATGACAGTGATGATGAATATCTTGCTCCAAGGCAACAAATCAGGCAGCCATTCATCAACCGCCAAGCCGCCCCTGTCACTGGTGTCCCAGTTGCTCCTACTTTGGACCAACGCCCAAGCCGCAGTGACCCTTGGAGTGCACGTATGAGGGAAAAGGTAACAAGATTATAACGTGCTGAAATTAAAAAAAAGCATTAGTGCGATACCGAGATTCACTGATTGCTTTTTTTTTTGAAACAGTATGGGCTTGACACATCTGAGTTCACATACAATCCCTCAGAGTCACACCGGTTCCAGCAAATGCCAGCGCAACCAAACGAAGAAAAGGGCCGATGCACCATCATGTGAGTCCATTTTAAAAGTCTTGAAGAGTTCAGTTAATTCTCTTTTCCTGTGTCTTTATTATTTCTGCGTGTAACAATCAAGAGTGTCAGTAAAAGTAGGATTCTTGTTTCTGGGTTGATGATGACTCTAGCATTTGAGATCTCTAATCAACCTAGTCACGGTCTCAAAACTCATTTGTTGTGTCTGTGTAGTCTTTTGTAAGGATTCACCATTATGAATATTCATCTTGGTTCCCCAGTCTGATCCAGTCCTATGTTTCTTATTATATATAAAAAATTCACTTGCTTCATGTTACACGCCCAGAATTTTCGCGTGCTCTACATTTTAGCCAATAATAATCCAGATTAAGTGCTATTTTAGAAACTTTAACATCCATATGAGAAAGTTGGGTATGAAGAAGATGCATAAGGTTTGCTCTGCTCATAGATCCTTCTTTTTTTTTTTGAATAAAATGTCAAATTATATTCAAAAGAAAAATATACTTTTTACATCAGCTTTTTTGAGATTTTGATAATAACAAAAAAACATAACTAGAACAAAAACAGAGTAAATAGAATGGAGAGAGCAAAAACAGTCTTCTTTTTTGGAGGATGCTAAGGACGCATGGCGAACCATACTTGCAGCCCCTTTTCGAGTCGAAGATCCCCCTTCTTTTGGATTGTCGATAGCTGGTTTCTAATTGTCTTGTCTATCTGTCGCGTCGCATGAGGTTTGAAGCTGAACGTGACGCTCACCGTGACGGCGAGAATTTCTCTCCCTCCAAATTGAATGAATGGAGACTTGGATTGCGTACCTAGATAAGAAATTCTGGATGCGATCAGGCTGAGAATCAGATATGTAATTCACCACAGCAGACCAATCTGTGGAAAAACCATCTTTGTACACATTCTTTGCGATTGAAGTCCAGATTTCAGAAGAATAGTGGCATTGGAAAAACAGATGGTCTCGTGTTTCCATAGGGCTAGAGCAAAAAACACAGGTCGTGGGTGTCCCATTGTTCCATGTCATCATACGATCAACCATGGAAAGTCGATTCCTAACTGCGAGCCAAGCACAAAAAGAGAATTTTGGCGTTGCGTGAGCGAACCAAACTCCTGTATGCCACGCCCTCTGATTTGATGATGTTCGGATATGATTCCATGTGTCTTTCGTGGAGAAGGTAGCCTTAAAGACGTCCGCTTTCCCCCTCCAGAGGATGGCTTCCTCTCGCTCTATGTTCCGCTGCTGGTATTTCTGAAGCAGAATCTCCTCAAACTCGTTTAGAATCCTTACATAGCAGCTTCTCTGCAATTTCATCACCTCACTGTCCTGCTTATAAATCTTCGCTATCCCTCTCGGTTATGCGTTTATTTTTCTCGATCCTATTTGATGATACTGTGATAGAAGCTATGAATTTGTTTATGTAGAATGTTATTGGGTTATTGACTTTTGTGTATATGAGATTTTTATGCAGCAGTTATGTAGAACTTATGTTTTGTGCAGCAGTTGATATTTGATTGCGGCAAATCAAGAGTTCTTGTGTATATTGTGTGGGTTCCAAGTAATTGATTACATAAAGTAGTAACCTCTCTTCCTGATCCAATTGGCAAATTACTCACTTTTTCCGTAAATGTGGGAAACATACGATTATAAAAGGATAAACACTCAACGTTCTTACCAAGAAAGGTTAGAAAGAGTTTTATGTTTATAAGCACATCTTAGTGAGTTCGAACAAAGTTTGAGGTTGAACAGTTTTGTAAAAAATTAAACGAGAACAATATAGGCTGAAACTATTTTAACCACGTGTCAACTTTCACACGTGTCACACAATTTCACACGTCACACAAATCTCTTTTGACACTGTCAACTGTGAAGGTTTTATAACTTAAAGAGTTGTACATGAAATGCTTAAGTTATAACTCTGTTAACTATGAAGCATTTATAACTTAATCTTGAATTATAAATGCTTTATCAAAAGTAAGTGTTATTGGTTCAATATTTATAAAAAGTTTACGTACATTAAAAGTTATGAGTTATTGAATTAATAATTTTAGAAATTCATTCAAAATGTTTGAACAAACAAAAAAAATCAAAATCTTGAGTTACTGACTTTTCAGATTATAATAAAGTTTAGTGTTATTGGTTGATTAACTTTAAAAAAAAATTGAACCAATAAGACTTTCAAAATCCTAGGGTAAAGGTGATATTCCCCATAAAATCTATGTGAATCTGTAAAATTATTCTAAAAGTTTCTAAATAAATTTTGCAATCTTTATAAGAATAATTCTAAAATCGAATAATCAACTCTATTGATTGCATTACTAAGTAAATAATATTTAGTTTCATTCCTTTTTTTTAATAGAAAAACAACTATTGATTACATTAATAAATTTATAATCAAACTTTCAGTGTATTGTTGGGAGCTCGCGATTGCTGAGAATATAAGTGATGCAATATTTTGGAATCTTATGGATGACCAATACACAACATATTCAAAATAGTTTCTGCTTAACTTTTGTAATGATTACGAAGCATCGAAAAGGTTCATAGACACCAAAGGGGAGCACTATTATTATGGGTATTCAAACTATAAAACATTATTGTTAACAATGGTACTTGGTAATTATTCCATCAAGAAACAGATAATTTGTATCAAAATTGTGGATTGAAATAGAGTTATGGGTAAGAGTAGCAATTTCTTACAACCAAGTCAAAGATACTTGTTGCTCTTTTGTTACAGTATACTAGTGTACAATTTGTGTATATTATATAATTGTAACTAAGAATGAATGATATTATTGTTGGAACTTTTGAATAAGAACTCGAAGAATGTTGATTCCCTAAAGATCCACGAGGTGGATTTTACGACATGAAGTATTTCATTCCGAGCGTTTTTTATCTCTTACACAAAAACACAAAAACACTTACTATGGCATTTTTTCGATCACCATTGTTATTGGAGTGGCTTCAGATAAAAGACGTATCCAAAAAGAGGTGAGAGTTGCTATTGAAGATTTAGTGAGGGCTTATCCAGATATGCAAAATGTAACTCTTGAGTTTATCGACATGAATAATCTAAAAAAACAATATTCTGATCGTGAAATTCAGCTTCTGATGCAAAGGTAGATGAAAAATGTTACAGAAAGATTGAAACAAATTTATCAAAGTTTAGTTTGTAACACATTTGAAGCGTAACGATTTGCTATTGGAATTTATGACTAACTTGCTATAGAGAGATTGAAACAAATTTGTCGTTCAGTTTGTAACACATTTGAAGCTTACGACAACCATATAGGCGCAAACATTGTTTAAAACAAAAAATAATCAATTATTTTTTGCCATAGATATACATAAATAACTGCATATATTTTCTTTTATTTATTGTAAAATTTCAAAATTTGTATTAATCAACTCTACCACATCAAAATTTTCTCCTAACGTGACAACCATTTAATTCGACTCGTTTCTATTCAGTGATCGCCTGTTGTGCATCTCGTCTCCATTCGCTAGACCGACGTTGATAAACCCAGGAGATTTCGACTCTTCCATATTCTACATAAAGTCCATAGTGGTATTTGCCTAGTTAGGGAATCCAATCGTTTACCGTTACAACTCGCAAATATCACTTTGAGCTTGTCTTCAAATGAGTCAAGGACTAACGTGTTTTTTTTGGAAAAAAATGCGACGAAAATTGTCCCCATTATGGTGGTCTTTACCTTCATTTTATTGTTTTTTTTCCTTCCTAATATGGGATTCATGGCCATCAATTTGTTGAATTAATGTTCAGACATATACACTTTTGTACATTGAACCCATCCCCGGTTTACAAAGGTTCTTATCATAATTGGGCTTTAATTTAACCATCCAAACATTTAGTCTACAAATATGCTTTAATCATAGCTGCACATTAACTATCCGACCATTGCTCCACCTACGGGACTATAATCTCAACTGATAGTTACGGGACTAAAATCAGGTTATTTACGGGACTATAATCCATAGCTGCATATTGTCTAAGCGTTTGGTTAGTTATGATCGTAAATAACCTGATTTTTATTCTGAATTTTAATTATTACATAAGAGACTTCTTTTGAAACAAAATCTTTGGAAGAAAAAAACGAATGTAGCGACTTGTTCGAGGCCATTATCAATACGAAAAACAAAATTTGATAGGCACGGAGAATCGCAAGACTTGTTATCGCCAACCTTCAAGGCAATTCACGTCATTTAAACTAGACGCCCTTGCTCTGCTAATTGGCTTAATGTTTATGACAAGAAGAAACAAATCGAACTCTTCACGAATTCATTATCAATACCAAGGTGAAAAAACACATCAATGTAATATTATCAGTCGCAAATTACCCATTTGTTTTATGATAATCATCATCTGCCCCACTTTCAACAAAACTAATGATCTAATAAAAAAAAATCATTGGGAGGGTTTTTATTAAGAGTAGATCAGAACCTGTCGAGATATCACAATAACATCACTCAAATGTTGTCAGTGGATTGACAGACTGTGAATTCTTTATCGTCACTTCGACCACACACCAAAAAAATAGAACAAAAGAAAAGCTTAGAACTCTAAGGTTATGTTTGCCGTCAACGATGAATAACTTCATCTCTGGCACACGGTAGTTACATCACAGCAACTACTCAAGATTTTCGAACATAAGAATTCAAAACCACAAAAGAATATGATTAAACTATGAAACAGAGATTATAGGGAGACATATCGGACCACAGAGAGACGAAGGAAACACTTATCTGTTTCAAGCGGCGATGTAAAGACTATTTATATGCAACGACGGGCTTGATAAAACCCTAATTTGTTCCTTTTTTTTTGCAATAAAAATTGGTTAACCGAAGAAAGAACACTAAACCATAAAAATTAGTCACTTATTTCATAAAATGCCAAAACTATTTATTGCCAGAAATATGCAAGTTGGGGAAATTGTTAATTTAGAAATTCTCAATAAATCCTGAGAAATAATGTTTACACCATAATGTAATTATTTTCAATAAACCAAAATATTAAAATTTTATTGTCATTGATATCTCATAACTCTATTATGCTAAAAAGAAGAAAAGATAGAACTGTGACATACTTTAGGTGAGTAAGAGAAGCAAGACATGGTTAGACTAGAAACTGTCGAGAAGAAGTAGAACAAAAAAGAGGAACTTAGACCGATCCTAAACCGATTAACAAAAACCAACAAGTATCAAAGGAAAATACTACTAACGGAGCTATCATCATGGACACGCCAAATGGTCTCACCCAGAAGATTAGCCACCGATAATATCGTTAACTGCGGGAAGTAATTCTTCTCCGCTACTGGTAAAGTATTCGTCACTATCACTTCTTGCAGCAAACCGCTTGATAACCGCTCTATCGCAGGAGGACTGTGACATTGATTCATTCAAGAAAACGGTCTCTTAGTTTCATAAACGAAAATGGAGAAGAACTGGTAAAACTCAAGCTAATGGGTTTACCTGAAAACAGCGTGTGTACAGCAAGCGTAAACCTCACGTGCACCCTCCTCGTGTAAAAGAGCTGCTCCTTTCACAATGGTTCCTGTAAATAAGAAGATAAAAAACTGGTTCTTAGTAATGTATGGCCTGCAAATCACAGAATAATCTCTATTTAGTAATATCTCGATTATGGCCTAGAGTTTGGAAGCTTTTGTTTATAACAAACATATCAACGGAAAGAGGAGTTTCTGGCAATTTTTACTAACCAGCTGTATCAATAATATCATCCACCATTACTGCCACCTTCCCTTTAACATCACCGATTAGGTTCATGACCTGTGGGAAAGAGTATTATCAACACATGAGAACTTGCGTGTAGAAAGGATAAAATGAAGGTAAATTTAAATTTTTACCTCAGCGACATTGTGGCCGTGACGCCTTTTATCGACAATGGCAAGTGGTGCATCAGATAATTTCTTAGCAAATGCACGTGCCCTGGCTACTCCACCAACATCAGGAGAAACCACTACCAAATCCTCAGAGGAAATTGACTTGCTAGCAAGATAATCAAGTATCACAGGCTGAAATGTAATCACAATTGTGTAAGATTTTAAAGGTTGCATAAAAAGTAGAGGCCTGTCTATCAAAAAGGTTGAAACTTAAGATACCTGGCAATAGACATGATCCACTGGTATGTCAAAATAACCCATGGATTGTCCTGAATGAAGATCACAAGCCAGAACCCTATCTGCACCGGCTTCTGTTATAAGGTTTGCTACCAATTTGGCAGCAATAGATTCACGCCCTTGTGTCTGAAAACATCAATAGATACATCAGATGAAATTACTTGACATACTGTATCTACCATTGAAGAAGACAAAAAGAACCTACCTTTCTATCAGCTCTTGCGTATCCAAAATACGGAATCACAGCTGTGACTTTCTTAGCTGATGCTCTTCGGCAAGCATCCACCATGATCAATAGCTCCATGAGATTCTCATTAGTTGGAGTGCAAGTAGGCTGCACCAAAAAGACATCGCAACCTCTAACACTTTCTTTGAGCTGAACATAGATCTCTCCATCAGCAAATCTCTTTATGCTAACCTTCCCAAGCTCCAGACCCATATACCAAGCAATTTCCTTCACAAAATTCCAAGAGTTTAGCATATACTTCACCAGAAGAAAACTTGATTAAAAAAGACAACCAAAGGTCTCGAGAAAACTACCTGAGATAAAGCTGGATTAGCAGTACCAGAGAACAACTTGAGCTTAGTATTGTTTCTACTAACCGATTTCTCCAACCGTGAAGAATCAAAGAACTTAGGAATTGTCGTCTCATTAATAATTGGAACACGAGCGTTCCCGTTTAGTGCCTTAGGCAAATTGCATTTCTATCAAACACAATGACAAGGAATTGTGAAACCAAATTCAAAATGTTAGACACAAAATTTAACCAACACACGATCTCTCTTACATCTCTCTACAAACATAAGAATAACCAAACATTCATGAACAGTATTCAATAACCAAACATTCAATAACCAAACATTCATGAACAGTATTCAACACACAAGATTCCAAAGCTGAAAGTTCCAAATTCCAAATTCTACAGTCACATACATGGACAAAGTCAAGCCAAGAGCGACGACAACACACAAATTCTCACAAAATTAGCCTGTAGACGAACTGCTAATAGCATCTACTAAATCCAGAAAAATCTCACAGATCATCAAAGCATAGATTCATCCAAAAACAATTTGAATTTTCTTATAACAAATACATGAAACGCAATGTGAATATCGTATTCATTCATTAACATGAAGGAAAAAAAATGCTCACCGCGTAACCAGAAACGCAGATTCGAGAGCGAGACTCAGTGGTCCTGAAAGAAATCGAGGAACGGGAGAAGAGAGACGAAGACGACGAGGAGAGATACGAAGGAATCTTAACGGAGGGAGGAGAAGTCAGAGCCAACGACGCCATATGTAAATATATACGTCGGAAACACCTGGAATCTCTTGAGTCACGGCAAATATCAGACTCCTCTCAACGTTAAGAATTCCGATAGAGAAGAGAACTAATCGAAGGATATTAGGATTTAGGGTTCCAAATTTGGAGTGAGAAACGAAGGAGAAGGAGGAGAAGAAGAAGGTAATGGTGAATATGTTTGTTGTTGTTTCTTTCTTCTCCGGGAAGAAGAGTGACTCAAGCGGTGCGGCGATGGGTCTTCTCTCTTTCTCGAAATTTGGAATTTTCAATTGTAATTTTGTTACACTAAAAACATACAAAAATAAATATTGTTCAGAAACGGTGTCGTTTTGGTTGATGGCTAAAATCGTCTCTGCTCGTAGCTTTCACAGCTTACGTGTCATGTAGGACTTAACAGTCGAAAAGAGAAATTGTTTTCAAACACAAATTCTAAAGAATCTCATACTGATTCCTAATGCCCACTTGTTTCTAAGCATTTTTCATGCCACTTTAGGATTCCAATAACTAATTATGAACATAAATTTTCTAAAAAAAGAATATATTTTCAGCAAAAAAACTTTTTAAAAAAAAAAACCATTTGTATTTTGGGTTCTTTCGGCTATACAAATAGATTGGGTCACATCATTAATATTGGCCATTGCAACAATTGAAAAGTGCAAATTTTGGAAAGAACAAGTCAAAAACTCAAAAGGTGAAGATGTGATTCTTCTCCTACATAAAAAAGGTTACAACTTACAAAAGACCTCTTCAAGGTACTTACAAAACATCATAGAGATTGCCTTAATACTTGTTTTGAGTTTAAAGAGATCCAAATTGAAAACATATGCAGCCATAAGGATTTGTTGCCATTTGTGTGAAACTGAAAAGGCAAACGGGTTATAATAATAAGAAGCCACAATGTCATATTTAACACATTAAAGATATAAGGAGATGTGATTAGCCATTGCCACGACCTCTTGCGTATCCGAGTCCATTAGACCATTTGCAATATCATTTTGCTCTAAATGATTACACGTGGTCAATTCATATTTCCATCTACCTAAATCCAAGCTCATAACGGATTACACTAAACAAAAAGACCAAAATGTCTCTAAGTTCATTGACCATTTTAGAACGTCATTCTTCGCTTGTCGAAGAATATGCAGTGAGAAGCAGAGCTAAATAAGATAAAAACTCAAAAGGGTTATAAGACATAAGAATACACAACGTCAAAAGAATAAAAACTTGAGCAACATAAGTTTCTAGGGAAACTAGTTTCTTTAAGAAGAGAAAACACAAGTCTATAAGATTGGATCAAACACAGACCAACTTGACTAATGAAGAAGACTGAACTAAACTTCAGTCGAATGCAATCTGACATGTAGGTGAACGCCTGAACAACAATGACAACTCCTTGAGCATCTCAAATTTCTTGTTGATGTCAGTGGATTTAGAGGAGATAGTCACCTTCTTTAAACAGCTTCCACTTCTTAAGATGAATGCCGCTACTTCTTTCTCTTCTTCTGTTCCTTCATATTTTACCCATTCGAGAGTTTCAAGACTTGTCAACAGACATTCAGGAACTGCACTCGGTTCATTCCAGCACGGCCGCGGTTGATGAGATCGATAGACATGGTTCTAAGATAAAAGTAAGATATCATCACACTGTTATTCTACTGAAAATATATGCTGATATATCATAGAGACTGAATAATTCAGGTTTAGATCTGCAGACCTTAACAAGTTTGAGTTCTCGTAATTTAGGGGAATCTCTGAGTACACACATAAGTAGATTTAGCCACTCTGTC